GTGCAGTGGGAAGGGCCTGGGGGGGGTACGGGGGATGGGAGCTCATAGGAATTATGGGGGTCAGTAGACCCCTGTGGAGTTTGGGAGGATGGGGGGAGGAACCCCACAATGGGCCTGTGGGGGTTTAAGGGGAGCCTTGTGGCCTTTAGGAGAGATTTGGGGAGCGCTGTGGGGCAGGTTTGTGGATGGTGGGGAGCCCTCTAGGAGGGCAGGAGCAGGCCTGGGGGGCGAGGAGAGATGGGGGTGTGTGCAGGAAGTGCCCCTTGGCTGGGGGAGCGAAGGGGACAGGGGGTCTGGGGCTGCCCTGCAGGAGAAGAGGCAGAAAGGCAACACTTAGGGGTTTAAAATATAGATATTGTATGCACATGGGGGAAAAAAAATAAGATATGCTTTTCTTTTTAATCTGCAAGTAAGGGGAAAGCAAAGGGCTGCCAGAGAACAGCAGAGGGACTGCCGAGAGTTCAGGGAGGTGGATGCTCAGCCCTGGGACTGGTGCTAGAAGGGATCTGGGGAAATAAATGCTCCAAGCCCCAGGGGTGGCTTCTGGGGGGAATGAGAGAGGAAGGGAGGAGCTGTGAGAGAGGTTTGTGTCTGTGGAGGCTGGTTCTGTGAGAGATGTGGTCGGAAGAGCCCTGCAGGGTGCCTGGGTGTGATGTGGCTCTGGAGGGGGACTGGGGACCTGTCCTGGGGTGAGCTCCTGCTTGTGCTGGTGTGGTTCAGGTCAGGGAAGTTCCCCAGGCCCGAGCAGAGGCCGCAGGAAAGTCTTAACCAATGTCCAACAGGTTGGCTTAGTGCATTACGCTGTTCTGGAGAGAGCTCAGAGCTACTGCTCTGGCTTTGCCCTAAGTCTGGCTCTTCCTCCCAAAGCTGGGATGCTCCATCCTGAAGGAAGAGACTGCAATTCCCCGGGCATCCCTCGTTTTCTCTCTTACTGAAAAGCGTTTGCTAGGGAGGGCTTCACCTGCGCAGCCAGGCTCTGGGAGGGGGAACGGGAGGAGAGGAAAAGTGACCTCCATGAGCGTCTTTTCCGAGGAGGAGCCCATGTCAGCGTGGAAGGGGCTTTCTGTGCCGTGCTCTCCGCTCCTTCCAGCAGCTGAGGGAGCAGAGGGCTAACGATGCAGCCTCCTGTGGAACAGATTGTGCAGGAATTAATGTCAGCTCTGGAAAGGGTGGTGTGTTGTTTTTTTGTTTTTTTTCTGGGGGTGGTGCACTGTTGTCTCATTTACACTTTCCACTCGTGCTGCGATACCGACCACAACAAGCCTCTCTGCGTTTGAGGGGCTGCCCGGGAGGTGTGCGAGGGCGAGGAGGCCTTTCTCAGGGAGCTGCCAAGTAGCTCCTCTTTCATCCTGGGGAAGCTCTGGCTTAGCTACTGCCTGCAAGACAAGATAGTTCTGGTATAAAAAGTGCAAATTTGAGGCATTTGGTTGTTCTGGTTCGCTTCCCCGTGCAGACCAGCGTTTGTGGTGAGCAGAAAAGCGGGTGGCACTGCAGTGGGAGCAGTCCCTCTGTGTTTCTTCAGCTAGTTGGGGCTAAATTGCTTTTTCAGAGGAGACCACGCAGCATCCCAGGCTGCGTGTGTTCTGGGTACAGCAGCTGTTGGCTGGAAAACTTGTGCTATAGTCAGGAAAACTGAATCAGTATTAAATAGGTCCAAGAAGAGGTGGGTGGTGTTGTCGGGGTCTCACAGACGACCCTGTGCTCAATTGAGGAGGTGCAGGGGTGGTGGAGGAACGTGCTGAAGACCAAATGTTCTTCCAGTTTACTCCTGGACAGCTTTGTGCATCAGGGCTGTAAATGTCTCTGGATTTGTTTTCCTTAATGTATTTTCCTCTCCAGAATGCCCCTCTTCCAGTGGAAAGCCTAATCACGCAGATATCCTGCTTGTAAACTTACAGTATGTTTCAGAAGTGGAAATAATTAATGACCGCACGGAAACACCTCCTCCTTTAGCTTCACTCAATGTTAGCAAGGTAAGAACCTGCCCTCGTGGGCTCGGAGGCGTTTGCTGCTGGCGGGGAGGGCTTTGTGTGGGGAGCTCCCTGTCAGGGACGAGGCAGCTTTTAAACTTTAAATCACCCGCTTCATTCACAGCCTGCTGCGGCGCTGTTAATGGGTTGAGGTGATGAGGTTTTGGGTCTGTTGAGTCTCCGTGACTTGTTGCTGGGGTTTTTGTGGTGAGGGCGCAACCAACTTGAGCCTCTCTGCTTCAGGATCGCTCAGCGAGGGAGCTGAGCTCTTGGGTGAGGGGAAGGAGCTCCTAGTTTTGTTTAATCCGAGAGGAAAGTCCTCATCAGCCTGAACGAGGTGCTGGGCGCTGTGCTCACTTCAACAGCTGATCCTGTTGCTGCCCTGAGCACCCTTTGGTCTGTATTCACACTGTATTTGCTCCGGTGGGGTCCTGCTGTGCAGATTTAATTGCCTGGGTGATGCTGCATCCTCCTGTGAGAGCACCAGTGGTGCTGAAGGTGTGTACTGGGAGCTCGGGGAATGCCTGTGCTCTCCTCAGAGGCCACGGCAGGAATAAATGTGGATTTCTGCACTGGCAAGTGGGTACAAGTTGCTGCCCAAAACTCTGACCAAGAATTTCAGCGTCGGGACCTCTGGTTTTTAGTAATGTTGAGACTGCAGAGCACCTGTTCACTCGGGGAGGGGGAAAAGTCCAGTGGTCTCGATCCTCCTGGCTCCATGGCACCTCTGCTAGAAGGACGTGGCGCTTCTCTGGTTGGAGAGAAGGAGGATGGAGCCCCTTGTAAACGTGCAACAGGTTCTTCCCCTGACAGCAGATGACTCGAATGCTCAAATCAAAACCTTTCAAAGATGAGTGTGGCTGAAGCTGGCGTTCTGCTTACCTGAGCCTGTGCTGCTCCTCCTGGGTGCTCTCTCTTCCAAGATCCCAGGTTAAGAACATGCTACAACGCCTTTCGTGTTCCCGTGGATGATGCTAGATGAGGTTTGTGCTTTGGTGGGTGCCCTCTGCCTGCAGCTCACTCTGTGCGAGTGTTGGTCGTCTCTCGAAACTGATTTAGGGTGAAGCTCAACAGCAGGGGAGTGGACAGGAGCGATGAAGCACGCACGCAGTTGAATTTTGAGGAACTGCTTTTTGTATGTCCTGGAAAGGGATCGGTTCTGATTCCCAGTGCTGATATCAGAGAAAAAAAAAAAAAAAGGGAAGGTGAACCCGAGCCCTCAATGCTGGTGTGAAGTGGCTGGAAGCCAGGTGTGGGGTCTGGCTGTGGGGCTTTTTCACTTGTCACCTCCTTGTCCCATGGGGAAACCTCCTCTGGTGTCAGGGACACCTGTCCTGGCTCTGCTTGTGGGTCGGTGTCGTGTGAGTGGCACCAGCTGGGCGTCCGGGTCCCCTGTGGGTTCCTTCACCTCGAATTAGCACATTGGTGGAGGTCTCAAATGTCACAACCACCGTAAAGATACGACTGTCGGTTGTAATTGCATCGAGTGACATTGCTGGGAGCGCAGCCGGGAGGTGGACGGGCCTGCTGAGGGGAAATCATCCCACGTGACGTCAAATACTTGCTTCAGGCTTTCTGGCATCAAAATAATTTCTGTGGATCTGGTGTGGGGAGGGGGAAAGAAATGAATCAAATTGCATCTTCAGTGGATGGAAGTCGGTGTGCAGCTGCCAGCGTGGCTGTATCCCCATCTCCAATGACAGGAGACTTTAACCTGGTGAAAAATCTGGAGAATAAATCCTGTGAGGAGCCATTGAAGGAGCTGGGAGTGTTGACTGTGAGGAGGAGGAGGCTGAGGTGAGACCTCATCACTCCACAGCTCCTGACAGGACATTGCAGAGAGGCTGGGGCTGGGCTCTGCTCCCAGGGGATCAGGGACAGGACAAGGGGGAACGGCTGGAAACTGCAACAGGGGAGGGTCAGGCTGGGCAGGAGGAGAAAATGTTTCCCAGCAAGAGTGGTCAGAGAGTGGAACAGGCTGCCCAGGGAGGGGGGAGTCCCCATCCCTGGGGGGGTTTAAGGGCCGTTTGGATGAGCTGTGGGGGATGTGGGGTAGGGGAGAACTTTGTAGAGTCGGGCTGAGGGTTGGACTCGATGATCCCGAGGGGCTTTTCCAACCTGAATGATTCTGGGATTCTGAGCGTTTTTCCATGTTGCTCTGACCTGCATTTCCTCTCCCACGAATGCACAGGCAGGCTGGGGTCTGATGGTGCTACAGGACTGGAATAGATGAGATGATACTGGTCATACTGGCAAAAGGAGCT